AACCATGAGAGTGTAGACTTTCATCGCATGAGGGCCCGACCCGAGGAAAATGCTTCGGGGAGGGGATAGAGAAATTGAGAATTGCCTCTTTTTCTAAATTAAGGAAATCTGTGCAATGTGGCTTAAAGTGCAAACCTTTATGGATGAAAATCACCTGACCAGCTAGCAAGCCGTGTTGGAACCTGTACCTGAAAATATTGTGAAATTTTAGAAATGTTAAAAAGGAAGGGGGGGGAGGACAGGTCTATGGACAAAATTTGTTGTGCGCAGAAGTCCAGTGACTCTAAAGCGGGCCTGGGGGCTTTTAAAAGAAAAGGGGAAGTAACCCAAAAAAAAAGTTGCTACCCAAGTCCTAAGGGAAAGGGGGGATTCCCTTCTAAACCTAAGAAGATCCAACTCCCCCCTCCCCCCCATCCCATAATCTCACAATATAAATAAGGTAAGTGTAGTTTCTATTCAAAATTTACAGTAACCCCCGCTTTGGGGGGTTTCCCCCAAAGGGTCTTTTCAAATTATGACCAAAAATCGCTAAAGCTCCCCCCACCTGACTTCTAATCGGTCACCAGCCCCACCCTGTTTTTTTACATTCTCCGGGGGCCTTTCCCCAAATTTGTCTGGAAACTCCAAAATTTCAAAGTTTTTAAAAGTTATTTCATTTTTATATATACCTGATAATTATACTTATGTATACCCCGTACCTAAATAAACTTCTCTGTGTGGCATGCAGGTCAATTAAAAACGGTAAGGGGTCTTTTGTCCAGACGTCATTTTAGTAATGTAATAATAATCGAGTCTCATTTTAAAAATCAACTTACTTAATATACACATTTTTATTAATCCCTCTATGTATTTTTTTCAAAATTATATAAAAAAACGATCATTAAAATATAAAAAGATAAATACACCCCCCCGTAGAATAAATAAACATAATTGAGATGTGGTGCAGATGACTTGCACAAGTACGCCATATTAGAAATGTAAAAATAATAATAAAAATAACCCCCGAGCTATTAAAAAGTCGTATATTACGTTAATATACACATTTTCATTAAAACCCTCCATGATTTTTTTTTCAAAAATTTTTAATAAATACATACTAACATAAAAAGATATAAATACACCCCACAATAGAATAAATAAACATAATAATAAGATATGGTAGCCAGTTAACTTTGTACAAAGGACGGCAAGAATAACAGTTTCTCTAATCTAACAGAGAGAAAAGTTTTACTCTAGGGTAACTGTAGACGAATAACATAATTCCTTTTGTAGATGTAAAAAGGGGTTTTTTATTCAGGTATACACAAAAACAATTACATAGATTATCATACATACAACATATGTGTAGAGAACCTAGTTAACCCAAAAAAGTCACAGTGACTTCTTCCTGCCTCACTCAAAGCATCATTTCTTCTCTCCAAAAATGATGTTTACATGAGAATGGGAGTGTTCTTTATTTATCTACCGTATCAAATGTAGAGACAACCTGTACACAAACCAGATTGTACACTTCGTTTATCAAAAACATTACCTTCCGCACTGGTTGTTTACATAAACCTCTATGCGCCTGTCCCCTCTCATACTCATTCTTATCTCTCTCATTTATTCTTTTAGTCCCCTCCCCCAGTTACTTACTCCTGACCCTACATTAAGACTACAAATAATTTAAGGTAATAAATGAGTGAACTGTAGATACACTTTAATTGCTCTGGATGCTTAAATATCAAGAAATATGTTGGGTGGGTTGCCTGTATGGTAGCCCGGCTGACTACCATATATACCACACTTGATTTCTGTCAATAAAATACTACTTGTCTCACCCTAGAGTAAGACTATAAATCTTTTAAGGTAAGTAATGAGTGCACTAGTGTGTATTGTACTTTTTTATTGTTTTTTGATCTGGTCTATTGCTAACTGAATATATGTGAGTGTAAACTTGTTATTCTATGTTGTATGCCATTTTATAATGAAAAAAAAGAGGTGTTCACTTTGACGCGGTAGCCTGGAGCCAACCTGCCGTATAAGTGGGGCCCTACTGTAGTAGTAATTGTGCATGTCTTCTTCAGTTTGTGTATTAAAATTAATATCAGTGCAAAATTTTTTTTTTCAATACTTTGGGATGTCAGGAACGGATTAATTTGATTTCCATTATTTCTCATGGGGAAAATTAACTCGATTAACGATGAGCTCTCAGGAACGGATTAATATCGCTGGTCGAGGGTCCACTGTGTTTAAAACATGAAGAGAATGAGAAGCGAGAAGTCTCCAACGATCACCACGAGTCCACAGTGTGTTAAAATCACCTAACAAGGTGGATGGCAGTAAAGATCAAAAACGCAATATCCGAGATACAGAATGCACAGGAGGGGGAAAGATGTAGAGAGTAAACTGTATACCATCTGTGCAAATAAATATGAACTGCAATAATAATGCAGCAGAGATGAACAAAAACTTGTTGATATGGTATACCATCGTGCACAGAAGCACAATTCATTATATATTATCAGGATAGGGATCAGAAGAGTGTGTGATGAACAGCACATAGCCCAAAACAGGATAACAGCTGGAAACCATGTTGGCTCTTGTAACCCACACATATTGGGGATAACTGAAGAGCAACACTTGGAGCTTTCCCGATTACCCTTGAGGCCACAAATATTCCATTGTAAATAAGACATGATTTACAAAGAAAGGATGTCAACAAGAAGAACTATAACATCTATGGCTAATAGGGTCAGTGAAGTCAACATGGTGGGGGCAATGCTAACATGTAAGAAAGGAGGAATCAGAATGCGAGAAGGGAAAAGTTTTGTTGCAAGGGTTTGTGAAAAAGAAAAGTAGAAGGAGGCGCGTCCGTGTCATTCGAGGGTTTCGTCAATATAGTTGGAGACAGCATCAAGTGTCTCAGCGGATAAGAAAGAATGCCGATACCATGATTTCAGAGATAGGTGAGGTAGAGCAAGTAGAGATCCGGGAGACTATGGAGGAACCAAAGAGTTCTGAGAGGGTGGGGAGTAGAACCTGGAGAGATGGTGCTGGAGGAGGCAGAAGAGTCCCATGCATGGAACAGGAGAGGAAGGAGGGCTGGAAGGTAACCAGGAAAGAAGAACTGGGGAGGAACAGGAGAGAGGAGTGAACTTCCACCTTCGTGTGAGAGTTTAGAAAGGGGGTGAGCAGCTAGGCACCGATGTAAAGATAGATTCATCAACTTCACGGTGACAGGCATGAAGAAGGCGTAGGCTTGCAAGGTCTCCGACTGAGAAACTAGCGAGCATGATGGAGAATAGAAGTAGGTAGAGGAATGGTGTTTCATTTTCCTTGGGTAAAACCGCAAAAAAGAATTAAGAAATGGGAGTGACCCCAAAGACACAATGGCAGAGGAGCTGAGGCAGAGACTGTCAAGGTTGGAGGTCTCCAAGCTACTCAGAATAAGGAACGAAGATTTCCCTGAAGGCAGAGCTGAGAGACACCATAGTGTAAGGCCTTCACTCTCCCCTTAAGATAACTGATTTCCTCATTCATTATGATAGGCTTGACAATTGCATGAAAAAGAAGGATAGATTCATTGCAATTGAGACAAGAGGGGGGAAGGCTGCAAGATGTAATGGCATGAAATCTGCTGCACCGCATACCGGGCACTCTGTACGGATCTGCAGTATTTAGTGGGGTGTCCAAAGCTCCAGCAATTACGACACTAATGGGTAGTAGGACTACTTTCAGACCTATAAGTGATGGCCTGCAATAGAAACAAGGATGGGAGTTCACAGGCATCGAAGGTTAAAAGGGTGATGTTACTGGGAAAGAGCGCCTCTGCCTGCGAGCAAGGCTGGACTTGGTGGTATCCTTTTTGAGAATAGACAGAAAATCACTTCTGTCATTATGGTACACGCGGTAAAACCACCGTACCACTGCAAGAATTGAGAGTAAGTGCGGCGTTATGAACTATGACTGGAATGGTTATCTATGGAAAATCAGAGCTTGTCTGAATTTCTCAACTGTGACGACATGCGTAACCGTCGAAAAAGGATATATTTGATGAACATTCGTAAAAGAGCGTACCATACTATGATCAGAAAGATAATCAGTTGGAGATGTCAGCTGTAGGGAAAACACTTTAGTCACTGTGTACTTGTAAACATGGTGCGAAGTGTGTGTTCGTAGGTCTTTTTTGGGTAGACATCAAAGATTGTCCCGTCAGTAAGGTGGACTGGAACGTTGTAGAGTAGTACCGTGGGCAGTCTACCTGAGGGAGGTGGAGTCCAAAACCATCTCCCCTATCGAGGAAGCTGATAGTGGGTGCTTCTTGCTATTTTAAAGAAAAGAAAAAGAAAAAAAAAAAAAAAAAAAAAAAAAAAAAAAAAAAAAAAAAAAAAAAAAAAAAAAAAAAAAAAAAAAAGACAGCGGAGGGACAGTCACTTGAAGGCAAGTTCTTCCCTCATCTGAAAGGGCCTTGGAGCCCACTAGCAGTGCAGATGCGCCTGGAACCCGTGCCATACCCTACCTTTCATGCCAGTAAACCATGCTCTAGATAGCAACCTCACATCTACGAGCCACTTTCCGGCAGACAAAAGAAAGGAGGGCAGTCATAAACCCACCACAAAGCATACCTCCTTTGGCTGGCACCCTCCCAAGAAACCGACCGGCAGTCCACTGGAGATACAACCATCAACTGCAGACACCCCACTCACTTCTCGAATCCGGGATGGGAGCAATGCACCTACCAGATAATTCAGACTCCATGGCAAACCTACACACCCTTGAGGGACCCATAACGGATTAGGATGAACCCTGTGCAGCACACTTCCCCCTCTACTACCTAAAAACCGTAAATGCCAGAGGGGAAACCCCAGAGACACGAACGGAGGGTTGGGAGGGGGCAGGAAAGGTGAAAAAAGAGGAGGGGGGATGGGGAGGATGGGATAGGAAGGGAGGCTTTTTTTTTTTTTCTTTTGGGGGGGGGGTATTTAGATTCGGGTCGGCTGAGGAAGGAAACCAAAAGGTCAATTCCTTAGACCAAGAGCCTCTTTGGCCACATCAAGGAGCTCCCCTTGAAGAGGTGAAACTCTCCAAACTCTTCAAAAATATATCAAATGTATTATCTTTTATAATTACATTAAATTTTAAAATTACTAAAGGAGTTTTCGTCACTATTTCTTTTCTATCTGCTCCACATTTACTACTCTTCCTGTGAAGATACATTTTGCATATTCCTTTGACAAGTCTTGCTAGCTTGAGTTACTAACTTTTTTGTTTTCAGCTCTTTAAAAAAAAATTGATATTGTACTACTTGTAGTTTATATCTTTTCAAAAAACCTAGGTCAAATGACTAAGATGGCAGGTAGAAAAAAAAGAATTAAATGTAATGTACTGTACTGCTATGTTCGTTGAGGAAATGATAAATTAGTAAGTCCATACAGCTGAGAAATGGAAGGAATCAACTATCTAAAAGGAAGGTAGCCTCCGATACCTTAGAATTAAAAAAAAAAAAAAAAAAAAACCAGCATCACGGCACCTTAGAAGGGAGTCAGAGTAAACCTCAATTTTTTGTCTGATGAATAATTTCAAAGTCTTCGGATCATTTTTCATAATTCTAATATGTACATGTACATACAGTGGGACCCCCGTTTACGATCAGCTCCCACTTATGTAAGTGTATTTATGTAAGTGCTTTGTACGTGCATGTTGGGGGTCTGAAATGGACTAATCTAATTCCACAATATTCCTTAAGGGACAAAATCGATTCAGTAAGGCACTTGAACATACTCGTAATGAAATAATACCGTAAAACCGGGGGGTCCACTGTAATAAAATTTCAAATCCATTTTAATGATATTTTGAAGTGTTTTCTGTGGTTGGGGAGAGTTTGGCAGATTGATTGTAAAATGGGTAAATATTTTAAATTAACCTGTATACCCACAGAGGCCTTAAGAACCTGGCTGATTCTGCACAATATTGCAGAAACTGGTCCAACGTCCTCTTGAAAATCCTCCCTTTGTTCCACCTTCGAACTGCAATATTTCTTATAGTGTAAATCTGCTGGTACAAGGCTGACACTTCACAGACATGCTGCAAACAGTAGTCTTCAACGACAATTGGATTTATCAACATTTCCTCCAGTACAATGTTATTTTAGTGTGGATTAGGTACATGATCCTTATTTTTTTTTATGTTCAATCTTTACTCTAAAAAGAATATTCTGAATACTCCAGGACAGTCCCAATAGCTTATATGTTTTAACAAAACAATGTATGCTTGAGCTAAAACAACATACAAGTTTTTCTAATAAAGATTGTTCCTATTAGTTTACATTTTCAGACTCGGGAAATTTCTAAAAATATATTTTAGCTTATCATGCCTGAAATATTCATCTTATCTGATTGAATAACTTAAATTCTCTCCAATTTTTTTTTAAATCACAAATACACTATGATTATTTTGTCTATATATGCATGTGAAAGAAAATTACTCCCGCCCTTTGATATATAACAAAAGGAATCCAAGTAACTGTACAAACATCAACATGCAAATACAGTAACGTAGAAAACCATGTTTATCAGGCAAGCAGGGTGATTGTCAGGCATTAGCCTTGTGTATAGCAATAAGCTATGCTTGACTCTATCCTTAAGAAACTTTAAAGTAGATTTCAAAAATGTTTGAATAACTTAAAAACTATGCATGTGTTAAACTCACGAATAGGTATGATAATGTTTCTTTATTTATCTAAATATCTTCCCAAAGAGGTATTTATAGTCACAATACAGAAAAGTGATTTCTATGTTTTACCTCAAATTAGTCGGAAGTACATGTAATTGTTAAAATATAAAGGTCCTATATGGTACTGTGGTTTCTTGTTCTTGGTATAACATTTGATTAAAAACTGCAGCCAATTCTCTCATGCCTTTTTATAAACTTAGGAGCAAAAGAAGAGCAACAGTTTTGTCTTCTTAAGCAATGGCTTTTTTACTAAATTGAAATGAGAAGTTTAAGTACCCCGGGCCTTTGGCTGCTCACTGGCCTTAAATGGGATCCTCGGACTATCTTCTCAAGGTACGTCATAATGCACTATATTCCATGTTTTCCCTGTTTGTTCGTCAGATTAATAATTGATGGTGCTGCTTCGGAAAACAGCCTTGGACAATTTCTGTAATGAAAAAAAGGTTTAATTTTATAATTAGCCTTGTTGCATACTACTACAGAATTTTAAAAAGTGTACCTAAAGGTGTAGCAAACGATTACAGTACCATGTCTTAATGAAACAAATTACAACCAAACCGCATATTTTATAGTGCAAGAGGTTACATAAATGTTTGAATTCAAAAGCAAAAAAAAAAAAATCCCTAAACAAATCTTACAAATTTGGTCCATGAAACATTTTAATTTGAAATCAAAAGTACAGGAACATTCAGCAATACGCCATAAATATTTCCAAACTTGAACCCCACCTGTCAATTCTCCATACTTCTCTCATTATGGTCCGAAATTTGGTCAAATGTAAAGAAAGAAAACAGATATATAATAACTAGGTAATTTTAAAAATAGCAGCACCTAATATACTGTTATTCTAAATAAACACATGCTGTATTTGATGATTACTTTGAAAAGTGTTAATTTATAAAAACCCAGTAGTCCTTTCCATCCTTGTATTTTCCCACAAAAAGAATTGTTTTTTATTTAGATATCATACATAATGGTTTTGATTAAGTGTATTCATTGGTCTAAATAGCATTCGTTCGAAACAGGGAGGGGGTAGGAAGAACAATGTTCCAGACTTTTAAAAACCACACGTATTTGTTACAGGACAAAACTGGCAAATCATGTTACAGTATATTATCACCTCTGAAACAAAACACCTACATTGTACAGACCAATCCATACCCGTTTTTTGAATTATGGTAGAGTTTTTCACCCATTTGTATTATTATTAATTATAATCAAAAAGAAGCGCTAAGGCCCACAAGGACTATACAGCGGCTGCAGGGGGCAGAAGAAGTGGGAGGGCATCAGTGCAAAAGGAATGGATAGTAATAGGTTACGAATCAGCGGGGCGTGGATGGTGACAGGGAAAGGGCAGCAAGAGACTGAACTAAAAGGGCTGAGGGGAGGCGGTAAAGGAGCATCAAGTTTTGGAGTAAATCAGTCCCGTTGTCAAGAAGTCAAATGAGAGAGTCAGGATTAAAGGAGGGTCCATAAGCAAGAAGGAAGGTAAAAGAGAGTAGTTAAACAAAGACGACGTTGGAGGTAAATTCTGCGTGCTCGGTTGATAGAGAGGGCAGTCTAACAGTATGTGGCTAATCGATACGGAACTTGACACTGCACACAGAGAGGAACAGGGTGCCCCCTCCATGAATACCCATGAGTAAGACGAGGTGACCAATGCGAAGGCGGAGAGAGTGTCTCCCAACCGCGGCACTGATGACAAGAAGACGGCCCAGAAACCTATGCCGGTTTAAACAGAAAATGAAGTTTGTTACCGCGCAGAGTTGAAACAACTTGTTGCCAACGGGTTGTGAAGGTCGGTTAGCTATTGCAGCAAATAGTCCAGAAATGGAACACCTCGATAGGAAATTGGTAGGTCATGTACTGCGACCGCGCAGCAGTGTCCTGCCTGTTCATTGCCCTGTACGGCCGACATGACCAGTGGACCCAACAAAAAAACAATATCTTTATGGTTTGGTAGAGATAACGGCGTAGCCAAAGTTGGATATGAGAATCTAGGGGATGAGAGGTATCAAATTTCGTATAGCCTGTAGAGCACTAAGGAGTCCTGAGACTACTACAAAAGATGACACAGGCATAGATGCGATACGAATAAGTCCTGCAAGATGGCATACAGTTCAGCAGTAAAAATGCTAGCTGAAGATAGTAATGTACCCACACGCTTGTCCGAAAACACTGCTTGAAATCCGACTCCGTCTGAAGACTAGACCATCTTACACAGCGGTGTACACAGATGGGAGTGGAAGTGATCAAGAAAAAGAAGCGGGAAGCCACCGTAGCAGTTGAGCTTTCAAGCACGGGAGGTGAGAAAGAACGACCCGAACAGCTGGAACTCCCAGGGGGGTAGGAAAAAGTGAGATGCTACATGAACATATAAAGGGTAACTGAATGGAAGACAAGAGTGAATGTAGGCGAAGAGAAAAGGGACGACAAACAGGGCGGCGAACGATTAAAGAAATGTCTACTAATATCGGTGACCATTCTAAAAATGGAGGAAGGAATGTGAGAGCGGAGAGCATACATAGTAGCGAAGGCATGTGGCATCCACGGCGATCAGACAAGATGAACATCCGCTTCTGTATAGAGGCTCTCACAGGGAAGAGCGAAGCACCAAGGCCAAACGTAATCCTTGGTGAGGAAAAGTTAAGGCGGCTAAGAGAGTAGCAGGAGAGGCGTGGAATAATCTAGTCCCCCATAATCGAGTTTCGATAAACGAGGCTAATGGAGGCGAAGCAGAGTTCGACGATCAGCTCCCCAGGAAAGATAAGCACGGGTTTTAAGAAGGTTTTGTCCGGCTGTGACAAGTTGCTTCAGAGAGGTTTATGTGAGGTTTCCAGGATAACCGACGTCAAAGAAAGCCTAGAAACCTGGCTGTAACACTTCGGGATACGGGAGCATAGAGAATACAAAGGATGACGGAATAACAGAGCGCTAGTGAAAGTAATTTGTTGAGTTTTGGAAGTACTTGAAAATTTAAACCCATGCGAGGTGGCCCAATATGAAACACGGTCAAAACCGCATGCTGAGAGAAACTAGCAATAATATGACAGTCAGCGCCTGCACAAGCAATAGCGAAGTCATCAACATAGAGTGATGACCTAATATAGGATGGAAGAACAGAGGTCAAATCATTTAATACAAGGAGAAAAAGGTTGTGCTTAAGAACACATCCCTGAGGGATACCTCAGCCGTGGACAAGTCCGGGAAAAACATTATTGACTCGAACACCGGAAATGTCGTCAGTTAAAAAAGTTCTTAAGGAAGGATGGTAGATTGCCTCGGACCCTAAGGAATGGCCTGGGCCAAAATATTATACCTCCAAGTTGGGTCATATGCCTTCTCAAGGTCAAAAAATA